ACTACAAAAATACCAGGGTCACATAAATTACGTTGAATTCAGGCTGCTATAATTTTAACACATAACATTCGATGATGCTGCTCCACATTTCACAAAGTAAATCAAGGGGTATATCTTACCTAAATGTTAGGCAGCTCTGCAGATCGTGGACGATAACCCAGAAATCCGTGACCGCTTGAATGTCAACAAATCAACATATCACAACAAACGACCTCGTGAACGCTTTATCTGCTTCATCAGAGGAGCCAAATGAATGAAAATTAACCACCTAAATGGCCCTTCTCCCATACATGACACTTCAACATGGCTTAGCCAAAGTATCCAATCTATAAGACATGTCTGTTGTCGATTGGGTATGCAAAAAAATCTCCCTTGAAAGTGCTTCAGAACGGCTTTCGGCCATTACGATTTCCCGTCAACAAGTGCTTCCCAGCAAGCTTAACGCATGCGCAAACGTTACCACTTGCTGTTGCCTGTTCCAGGTGTTCAGATAGTGGAAATTGGCGAGAAATGGAGAGTGGAGGGGTAAAAGCGCTGTTTCCCCCCTGCTAACAGTTTTACTTTCGTCGTCTTGCAGAACAGGAAAAGTTCGACTATATAAGTGCTCTTTAATTACCGGAACTGGCAGGCTAACTGTGCTAACTGTGACCACAACAAAAAAAAGCGATTTATAGTTAACGAAGCACGTCTGCAGCACTGACCAAGCGTGTAAACTGAATATTTATTAACACTTCGTTTTTGGCCTCTTTTAAACAGTTTGCTTGAGTTGACCAATAAACTAAGGAAGCTAAGCGCTCAATGAGAGTCAAGATTGACAAGCACGATGTAAAGTAATGCAAAGTGTTAGACGAAAATGATTGCGAAACCGGAGTACATGCATTTAACAACGGTGTGGACCCATTTTCTCCAAACTGATGGAAATGTTAGGATAAAAGTAAGAACATTTACTTTTAACTCTTAAAATATATCGGCAGTTATTAAAATACAGTTGAGGAATCTTGCGTTACATAAACTTCTTACACACCAATAAAACTAGTAAACAAAATTACCTTAAATGAACGATAAGCGATTTTAAACCTATATCATTCAAAACCTACTTTGGTTCTAGGTTTCCACAATTATGACACGTCTTTCCATCAAACGCAATCCTAAAATTTCATATATATTCTAAAATTAGCGAACGTGACTTAAAATCTTCTTTACAAGTTGCTGCCCACTTCATCAGCTAAATCCAGTCTGTCTGCCCGGCTCTTCCTCCTGCACCAGAGTCGAAAAGTTTCAATTAAAAGCACCCCTGAAAGCGAAAAACTTACAACTTACAAAACAAATGCAATAGTTTTCTTTATTATTTCTTTTTCAAACTAAGCAATAAAAGTTGACGTTCACTCTTAGTTCAACTGTAGCGAAATTTGTCTCCTTTTTTAGGTCAACCGTCTCACGCGTGCGAAATGAGATTTATTGGAAATAAAAACCTTGTGATCAAAGTCTATTTTTATAATTACTGGGCTGCCTGTGCGTTGTTCGAAGCGATTCGATCATGGGAGTCACTCTATAATTTTTTTTATTGTTCAAGTTTAAGTCAGTTAGATGATGTTGGCGCTGGGAAACTCAGAGAAATGCTCGTGTTGCATTCAAACCGACACGCCGTTCACGGTAGGTTCGCACTAAAAGATGACTCTGAGCGTCACGTTTGGAACGCCGTGACCGCTTCGTGAACTCAAAGAGAGAATTATCGATCGTTGTAGTACATGAGCAATTAAGAAGCACAATTTATGAGCGAGGTATTTCACCAGTTGACGACACTATGGCTGAAGACTTGATTGTAAGCCTTCGTAGTCAGTGAAGCGAACAACTCAGTTGCCGATGAATGGCACTACGCACGTCACCGCAAAATGGAAACTTAAAAAAGCGTATAATCCATTCATCTCGAAACATAACACACATGACTTATACGACCTTTATTTTCGGAAAGGTGTTTGGAATACGAACGAACACAGTCAATGTGAGGGGCAAAAACAGCATTAATATAAATGGGTTTTAACTAATATAAGGGTCAATTATTGTGCATTGAGATGAATCGCTTGAAAAGAGCGACTTCGCTTGAAGATTCTTGAAGATGTGATCAGAAGTAAACAAAGGCATAATAGTGCGTCACGTTCAGTCTTTTTAATATCCAAGGAGTCACTGTGAATAGTGTTTCCATATTGTTTAGCTGGCACAAAATCGAACAAAAACTTCGGACGAGTTATAAAGCGGCATAGTTTATTATCTTCCATGAAGACAAGTTCGTCTTGGGTTAGACAAACAGAACTGGAGTGAATTTTTAACTCGCATCGGTATCAGGTAAAAAAATGTTATCGATCGTTTCATCTATTTACATTGTTTGAAGTGCGTGCTGGTGAACGCAACATGCGAGCGAGAAATCTTTAAACTTTTTTGGGTCTCAAAATGCAAAGGATTTTATTCCTTTAAGTTAGACAAAAATACCATGAGGAAAATC